GTAGCATTTACAAATAACAGCATATCTAAAAGTATGAGACAACAACAAACAAAAAACATAGGCCTACCATTAAAGCCGTGCTTGCACAGGTTCTGCTCGATCCCCTTCAATAATATCCTCTGCAATCGGGCTCAAACTGATAAGCGATATTAACGACGCCGTTGTTTACAATACAACCAGAGCACATGCCGCTGAGGTGAGGGGCGGGCCGTTTAGACACGCACTAGAGGCAGTTTAGCCAATCACAACACACTGAGCTAGCTAACCAATCAGAGCCCATCGTGTATTTCTGAGGGAGGGGCGTTTAGCCAATCACAACACACTGGGCTAGCTAACCAATCAGAGCTCATCGTCTATTTCTGAGGGAGGGGCTTCATAAAAGCAGGAAATGATCAGCGCTTTTCTCAGAGAAGGGACAGAGCGGTGTGGAATAAAGGTAAATTATGTGAAAAATAATGTGTTTTTTAAAAAAACGAAGCATTAACACATGTTAGACTGTACCCCATAAACACAATCAAGCCTAGAAAAAGACCACTGAACCACCGCTTTAATGCAATAATAAAATACAGTATTTTATGACTAAATTCAATATGGCCGAGATGGGAAATTTAGGTATTGATCAACTCAGCATGCCACTGAATCCAACAAAACAAGGCTTCAGCACACTCTTCATCAAATTCGTTAGCAAGTTATTCAAGAACAGTTTAGCTAATCATCTTGAACTACATGACTGGAACATGATCTGATTGGAGTTTCCTGAAAATCAGATGATTGATTTAGGAGTTAAAGGTTTTTTAAGAAAATTCCAAACAGTGAGGGCCTTAAACTGTCATGATTGTTCAGCACTTACCTGACACACTGTGTCTGGTGGTGACGCAGGTCAAGGGTCTGGAACAGGAGAACGATCATCTGAACCAGACCATCGCCTCTCTCAGGCAGCGCTCTCAGGTCAGCGCTGAAGCCCGCGTCAAAGACATCGAGAAAGAAAACCGCGTGCTGCACGAGTCCATCAAAGAGACCAGCAGCAAGCTCAACAAGATAGAGTTTGAGCGCAAACAGCTTCGCAAAGACCTGGAGCACTACAAAGAGAAAGGAGAAAGAGCCGAGGAGCTGGAGATGGAGGTCCATCGACTGGAGCGAGAGAAGGAGAGTCTGCAGAAGCGTCTCGCTGCTCTCGCCATCACCTGCGGGAAGGTGGAGGTGCTGGAGAAGGAGAATGCCGAGCTGGAAGCGGAGAGCAGGAAGCTGAAGAAAGCAGCGGACGGTCTGAGGAACGTTTCCTATCAGCTGGAGGTCCTGGAGAAGGAGAACGCTCAGCTGGACGAAGAAAACCTGGAGCTCCGGCGCATGGTGCAGTCTTTACGGTCCTGCGGAGCCAAGGCTGCCCAGCTGGAGCTGGAGAACAAAGAGCTGGAGAATGAGAGAACCCAACTCAAAAAGAGTCTCGAGCTGCTGAAGGCTTCGTCCAAAAAAAACGAGCGTCTGGAAGTCAGTTACCAAAGCCTCGACGCGGAGAACCAGCGGCTCCAGAAAGCCCTGGAGACCGGCAGCCGCAAAATTCAGCAGCTGGAGGGAGAGCTGCAGGACACGGAGGTGGAGAACCAGAGCCTGCAGCAGAGTCTGGAGGAGCTGAAGATCTCCAGCAAAGGCCTGGAGCAGCTGGCGCAGGAGAACACGGCCCTGGAGCAGGAGAACAGTCAGCTGGAGAAGGACAAGAAGCAGCTGGAGAAGGAGAACAAACGGCTGCGACAGCAGGCTGAAATCAAAGACTCCAGACTCGATGAAGACAACCTGCGCATCTCTCATCTCGAGAAGGAGAACCGCACGCTGGGCAAGGAGGTCGCCGCTCTCAAAGATATGTGTGGTCGCGTGAAAGACTTGGAGAAGGACAATAAGGAACTGGTCAAACAAGCAACCATAGACAAGAAGACCCTGGTCACTCTGAGAGAGGTAACCAAGCAAACACGGTTAGCTGGTGCATGCTTGACTGTGGACTGCTTGCACGACTCTTACTGTGATGTTTCCTGATGCAGGAGCTTGTCAATGAAAAATTAAAGACCCAGCAGATTAACAATGACCTGGAGAAGCTGACCCATGAGCTTGAGAAGATCGGCCTCAATAAAGAGGGGCTTCTGGGTGATGCAGAGAGCTCTGATGACAGGTAATCCACACATGGAATTAGGGATGGAGCAATTACCGGTTTGACGATAAATCATGATAAAGTTCCCCACGGTTAGTATTACCGTTTCATATTTTGATTATCATTAAAACCGTGTTCGATTGCCGCGATTTGAACAACTGAGGATAAATAAATACTGTCCAGCATAAAGCACAGTTTTAAGTAACAGTCACAGCACACAGAGTAGTTTCTTTTTGTGTGAAAACATGGCGGAAAAGCTGGGAGGTTTTAAAAGAGTGCTAAGGGAATTATACAAATGAATATATAAAATAATTTATTATATGAATGTACCTCTGAAGATTCTGACTGTCTTCAGAAAAAGATGTAATCTGTAATCGCTCCATGTAATACCTAATACAGCAATGCTGCTTTGTGCAGGAGGTTATGAGAAACAGCTGTAATTCTGCTGCTCCAGAAGCGCCACCTGCTGTCAGAGAGTGGAGTTACAGAGACTCACATTCAGTCTGTGTGCAGTTTCTGTCTGGACTAAAAACAGACCTGGTTTACACGCCCTGCTGTGAATTTTGATGAAAAACAAGCTTATGTGGATTCTACACATTTAAACAATTCAGATAAGTTATCTAGAATTATTTATGAAGCAGATAATATACAAATAATCATTTACTAATCAATTATCATTTTCACTTATATCTTTTCTTTATTTAAAGGCTGAAATGTGAGGTTTACCTTTTTATGAAACTTTTTCAAAGCTTTATGGCAGCCGCAAGATTCAGCAGCTGGAGGGAGAGCTGCAGGACACGGAGGTGGAGAACCAGAGCCTGCAGCAGAGTCTGGAGGAGCTGAAGATCTCCAGCAAAGGCCTGGAGCAGCTGGCGCAGGAGAACACGGCCCTGGAGCAGGAGAACAGTCAGCTGGAGAAGGACAAGAAGCAGCTGGAGAAGGAGAACAAACGGCTGCGACAGCAGGCTGAAATCAAAGACTCCAGACTCGATGAAGACAACCTGCGCATCTCTCATCTCGAGAAGGAGAACCGCACGCTGGGCAAGGAGGTCGCCGCTCTCAAAGACATGTGTGGTCGCGTGAAAGACTTGGAGAAGGACAATAAGGAACTGGTCAAACAAGCAACCATAGACAAGAAGACCCTGGTCACTCTGAGAGAGGTAACCAAGCAAACACGGTTAGCTGGTGCATGCTTGACTGTGGACTGCTTGCACGACTCTTACTGTGATGTTTCCTGATGCAGGAGCTTGTCAATGAAAAATTAAAGACCCAGCAGATTAACAATGACCTGGAGAAGCTGACCCATGAGCTTGAGAAGATCGGCCTCAATAAAGAGGGGCTTCTGGGTGATGCAGAGAGCTCTGATGACAGGTAATCCACACATGGAATTAGGGATGGAGCAATTACCGGTTTGACGATAAATCATGATAAAGTTCCCCACGGTTAGTATTACCGTTTCATATTTTGATTATCATTAAAACCGTGTTCGATTGCCGCGATTTGAACAACTGAGGATAAATAAATACTGTCCAGCATAAAGCACAGTTTTCAGTAACAGTCTCACATGCGCACAGCACACAGAGTAGTTTCGTTTTGAGTGAAAACAGGGCGGAAAAGCTGGGAGGTTTTAAAAGAGTGCTAAGGGAATTATACAAATGAATATATAAAATAATTTATTATATGAATGTACCTCTGAAGATTCTGACTGTCTTCAGAAAAAGATGTAATCTGTAATCGCTCCATGTAATACCTAATACAGCAATGCTGCTTTGTGCAGGAGGTTATGAGAAACAGCTGTAATTCTGCTGCTCCAGAAGCGCCACCTGCTGTCAGAGAGTGGAGTTACAGAGACTCACATTCAGTCTGTGTGCAGTTTCTGTCTGGACTAAAAACAGACCTGGTTTACACGCCCTGCTGTGAATTTTGATGAAAAACAAGCTTATGTGGATTCTACACATTTAAACAATTTGTATATTAATGGAGCAGATAAAATACATATAATCATTTTTTAATCAATTATCATTTTGACTGAACCCTTTTATTGAAAGGCTGAAATGTGAGGTTTACCATTTTATGGAACTTTTTAAAGCTTTATTTGAAAATTTCGTACATGCTATTAGATAAACTGTTGTCAGTCATGCTGTCATTTAAAATCCGGACATCATAATGTCATTGTTTTAGTGTTTATGCAAACAAAAAGTCATTTTATTTGTTGTTTGTTGATTTTAAATATAAAACTTGGGGAAATTATTTACGTGTCAGTACTTTTTGAACATTTCCAGCACATTTTAACAATACGTTGATAATACTGATAACCGTGATAATTTTGGTTACTATAATCGTGATAAGAAATGTTCATACTGTTACATCACTTCAGAAACTAGGGCTGCGACTACATGAATTTGCACGAATGCTGGAGTCATAATGTCACTTGTATAACAGTGTGTTTCTTGTTTGTCAGGTTTAAGCTTCTAGAGTGTAAACTGGAGTCCACTCTGAAGTCCTCTCTGGAGATCAAAGCGGAGAAGATCGCTGCTCTAGAAGCCCGACTGCAGGAGTCCTCCAACCTCAACCAGCAGCTACGACAGGAGCTCAAAACGGTTGGGCGTCAGGCTTTGTTTGGCTGGTTGGCAGTGACTTCAGATTGTGTTTATGAAGCCTCGTTTTGTCCACCCGCAGGTGAAGAAGAACTACGAGGCCCTGCGCCAGCGTCAGGAGGAGGAGTGTTCGGCTCAGAGCTCGCCTGCTCGAGGACGGGAGGACACACAGAGCAAGTGGGAGAAGCAGAGTCAGGAGGCCACGCGAGAGCTTCTGAAGGTCAAAGACCGACTCATAGAGGTGGAGAGAAACGTGAGTACCAGCTCAGCGCTATCAGAATGTCTTTACGTTAGCACAGCAGCTGATATTGCTGATGTTTGTCCAGAACGCCACTCTCCACGCAGAGAAGCAGGCTCTCCGGACGCAGCTGAAGCAGCTGGAGTCTCAGAGCGGGAATCTCCAGGCGCAGATATTAGCTCTTCAGAGACAGACCGCATCTCTACAGGAGAACAACACCACGCTACAAACACAAAACGCCAATCTACAGGTCAGAGTTGCTCTCCTCACACAGTTATCCAGTCCAGCGCTGCTGTAATGGTGTGTGCACTTAACACGTAGCGAATATTTGCATCGTGTTAAGCCCGGCTCACACTGTGCAATTTTGGCCACGATTTGGTCGTCTGAGACAAATTTTGAAAATCCTAAAAGATTCCTATAATCCTAGGCTACAATATGATCGCTGCTTTGACGTGTTCACCGACAGCCAATTAATGACCGTTGCGATCAAATTTGACCTCTGACGAACTTCTGGCAGTGTCAGAAGATTTGGCGCACAGTCCTGCAGTGTGACATCTGCTACGACGAACGTCAAACTGTCTTTGTTTTTCAAGACAAGCCATGATCAGAATTAATGCTAGAGATTTCTTCTAATCGCATAAACTCCGGCGCTCTCATCCTCCGCTCACGGGATTCATATCATGTTGCCTTTGCTATGATGAACACTGGTTGCGCTGCTGTTTTCATGTGTAGTGCTGCTTGCACTATTCTGCTGCCGGTATTGCTGCAATTCATGCACTTTTAATGATAGCCAACATTACAGCCCTGCGTGCAATGCAGCTCACAGTCACTGAACGTGTATGGGTTGATAATGTAAAACTCCGGACAAGTTTTCTTGCGCGCACCCGTTTTTAACGCGTCTTGACTGTCGTACAGTCTGACATTAATGACAACTGAGATCCCACAGTGTGACATGATCATCATGTTCCTGCAGTCTGACAAGCAACAATCCTAAAGGACTATTAAAAATCGCACAGTGTGCGCTCCGCTTTACTCACACGGATAAAAAACAATTAAAAAAACATTTTCTGATACAATCAGACGTGTCAATAAGCTCTCCACTAATCGGCTTGCGCGGAAACGCATCATGCGAATTTTCCGCTTGAGTTGAATGTTTGAACTCGTGGAAGATGCGTTTGAGGCGTATATCGCGTGTTTGTGGCAATCACTTCGCCTCTGCAAATTTGCATCTTTGCATTAACTTTGTATGTAATCTACCCGTGCAAATAATTAAATTAGCTTTTGGTGTGAACACATAATTACAGAAAGGGTATGGTAGATATTTCTCCTCGTGAATGTAACAGGAGTTTGGTCGTAAAAGCTTTTCAGGCCCCTGAGAGTTGCACAAAACAATCTGCAACTCTTAAATCAATGCTATAACCCTGCCGTGTGCTCATTTACCAGAAGCGCACTTTGAGATAAACGAGTTTATGATGTGCTGGCAGGTGGAGAACTCGACGCTGAACTCTCGGAGCGCCGCTCTCATGTCCCAGAATGCTCAGCTGCAGACGCAGCAGTCCGGCACAGAGAGCGAGAGGGACGTGGCCATACGAGAGAAGGAGGAACTGCGCACGGTGTACGATCTACTGCTGCATGACCACGAGAAGCTGTCTGCGCTGCACGAGAGACAGGCGTCGGAGTACGAGGATCTGATCGGCAAACACGGAGAGCTGAAGAGCGGCCACAAGAGCCTGGAGCTGCAGCACCGCAGCCTGGAGAACAGGTGCAGACAGCACAGGCAGCAATCACCTGCCATTCCACAGCCACAGCTGTGTTTCTCAATGCTGTGTGTGTGTGTGTGTGCAGGTACAATCAGCTGCTGAAGCAGAAGACCGAACTGGAGCAGCTGGAGAGAGATCTCACAGCAGAGCGAGAGAAGATGATCTCTGACAGCAAGAGTCATCAGGACACAGCTGCACAGTACCAGAGGCTCAGCGAGGAGCACCACACGTGAGTGTCAGGATGAGCGAGCGCCTCTCTTGACTGAGGCCCATCTCTCATGAGCGTCTCTCCTGTGTGCAGGCTGAGCTCCACACACCAGCAGCTCCTGAAGGACAATGAGCTTCTGCAGACAGATCATAAGACTCTTAAGAGTCAGCTGAACACGGCCCGGCTGGAGCAGACGCGTCTGGAGGCAGAGTTCTCCAAACTCAAGGAACAGTACCAGCAGCTGGACATAACCTCTGCCAAACTCACCAACCAGTGCGAGGTACATGCTTCAGCATCTCACACGGCCGTCAGGTCCAGTTAGGGCCTACAGAACACTTAGGAACTTCTGCCTATGGTTATAACAAAAAAATACCACTACAAAAACAACTAGACAAATATAAATGTAAAAAATGTTTGATAAAGACAAGTAAAGAGTCAGTGATAAAATAGGAACAAACAAATCAATTAGCAATAGCACAAATAAATATGACTAAATAAATTCCAGATACAGAAATTGAAATCAGAAGTTTAAAAACACTGCATAGTTTTCATAAATAAAATATAGATTATTAATTGAAGTTATTAAAGATGAGTGATTTACTTTTGTTCTTTGATTAACATTAATGACAGGCAGCGCGTTTATTAGACTGCTGTCTCTTTAACACCGAACGCACGCAGATCTAAAAATACTGTACACGAGCATTTTCTTTCTCATGTTTGTGTTCACTTCAGACAAAAACGGCTGTGTTTCTGATGATATACTGACGTAGTTTTCTGCACGCTGGTTGATAAATATGAAAGAAGTCAGTTCCGGCTCGGAGCAAGCTTTCCTGCGGTGAACAGAACGAACGCTGTTCTCTGATCTCTGTGCTTCAGACGTGTGCGCTGCACGCAAACAGAGCGCAAGTTCTTCCCTTCCTGCGCTTAAATCGTTCAAAATCACACTAAGATGCCAACGCAGGAATCGTTAAGCGGGACTGAAATGCGCGCGTCTTATCGAACACCCGGTTCTTGGAAAATTAGAACCTGGTTCTCGATACCCCACCCTAATCGTGTATGACTCTACACTTCCCAGTCTCAGCATGTGAAGTTCTCATGTGCAAACTCGTGAGGTTTCAACACTCATGAATGTGGTGAACTAAATGGCTGTTTGCAAACAAAGACATGTGGAGGGTAACTGTGTGTGTGTGTGTGTGTGAAATGTGTCCTGCAGTTGTTAAGTCAGCTGAAGGGGAACCTAGAGGAAGAGAACCGGCATTTGCTGGATCAGATCCAGACCCTCTGCAGAACCGGACCCTGCTGGAGCAGACCATGGAGAGCAAAGACCTGTTCCACGTCGAGCAGAGACAATACATGTGTGACATCACCATATTTCTAATTCACACCTCTCATTTTACCCTCGTTCTCTTTAATCTTCTAAAACTATTCACCTGTAAATTTGCATCACCTCCTGTGTGCTGATACACTACCATACTTATCTCTGTCTCTCACACACACAGTGATAAACTCAATGAACTGAGGAGACAGAAAGAGAAGCTTGAGGAGAAGATTATGGATCAGTATAAATTTTATGACCCGTCACCTCCGCGAAGGTAAGCGTGCCATCTCACGCACACCACTGGATGTGTTTATAACACAGAATACACTGGAGAAACATCGCCCAGTCCAGTGCTTCCTGGATTGAGAATGTCTAAACTATGACTGAAGCTCTGTTCATTGTCCACCACTTGTTTGCTCATTCACTATTCCCATATAGTAAATGGTTTTATAGAGAGCGATTTCAGATTTCAGTGTTATTTTGCTGTTCGTTGGGCCAAATGAAGCCTGGGTTTTGTGCAGCATACACTAGTACACAGAGACAGGATAGCACAGAGTGGATTATTTGCACTACTCAAACAGTCTGCCCTTTAGAGCACAAACCACATCCAAACTGTCTATATTCAACACAGAATGCTACATATATGAAAGTGATATATAGAGAGGATCAGACATCTCAAACAGTTATAGCCTATAAGTTATAAACGGCACTGACAAGAAGAAGAGATAACACAAGTGCCATGCACAAACATAACTTACACGCTTTTGAAACTGCGCATCATCACCAGTGTTACTGGTATCCTGCCTTCTGCCATATATACTGAATTAGCTAATCTTCATTTTGCAACCTTTTGAAAACAAAGCCCTTTAGCATTTCAGTTTTTGTGAATGGGTTGCTAAGGCCACGCTGTCCGCTCTGCGCTTATAGCAGCAAACTTTCTCCTGAAGTGTTGCACAGATCTTTATGCAGGATGTCTGCAAAGACCCTTTGAATGGTCTGCAGCCAAAACCTCTGCTTCATCAAAGGACTGGGCTGACCAGCTTGCTGGAGGTGGAAGCATGGAGCTGACGAAACTAGCTCACATCTTTCTCCCTATTGCAGCTGTGGTTGATCTCCCTGATAAGGATGAAAGCAAGATATGCAGGCTGATTTCTTCCATAACACAACTGGGATGAGGGAAGGGCTTGTTGTGACAGGGAATACCACTCTCCACAACGCTAGACATCAAGCAGCACTAAGATTAGACAATACATAGCCGGCAGCTCTAGCCATGGCTAGTCTCTCGAGGCTATAAGTGCGATAGTTTTGCTCTATGCCCATAATATGCCATACCGTTCTGACTTTCCTAAAATGAATGAAGAATCTAAACTCTTTAGGAATCAAAGTGAACTTGAAAATGGTTCATTTACCCCCACACTGTCAGTAGTCTGTTCAATTCTGGGAATGGAGACTACACCCGCAGATGGTGCAACAGATCTGAGAGATGCAGCAGGGCTGACTTAGGTTTGCTTGGCTCATTAGGCAACAAGCAATGTCCACTATTCTTGTCACCGAGGGAAAGAAACACCACTAGACCTGGATGCTTTGGGATATCTGTGCGCAGGGCTGTGCAATATGTTTCCCTCACTCTGAGCAAGATCAGATGGAGTCAGCAGACAGCGAAGTCATGGACAGCAGAAGTAATGCGGGTGTTATACATCAGTCCATGGCATCTGCTCTCTCAGGTAGAACATACTGCACTCATACCCTCATAGTTGGAACTTCTGTGTGTGGCTCGTAAAAGGTTCAGTCCAAGTGTTATTTGGTTTCCTCTAAGTATGAGTAACATTGTTTGGAATCACTACAGTGGTTTCCACTAGGTCTTTCAACAACTTTGGAAGTGGAAGGTACAAGGAATCCAAATTTTGTTTATTTTGTTGGATTACTGCCCTCAAATGTGACCCAGTGACATCACAGGTGATTCTTGAATCCCATTTATATTTATGCATTTAACTGATGCTTTTATCCAAAGGAACTTGCATTGCATTCAATCTTTCTCAGTTCATGGTGTCATTGAGAACTGAACCTGTGACCTTGACATTGTTAGCACCGTGCTCTACAGTTTGGGCTACACTACAGGAATGCTAACCAGGTAGCACAGATATCCCAAAGCATCCAGGTCTAGTGGTGTTTCTTTCCCTCGGTGACAAGAATAGTGGACATTGCTTGTTGTCTAATGAGCCAAGCAAACCTAAGTCAGCCCTACTGCATCTCTCTCAGATCTGTTGCACTATCTGCGGGTGTAGTCTCCATTCCCAGAATTTAACAGACTACTGACAGTGTGGGGGTAAATGAACCATTTTCAATTTCATTTTCAACTAGCTCCAGGGTACTTTAAAATGTTTAACATGCAGCCTGGGCAACTACTGCCCTTAGTACTCAACTCTTTAATTATAAAATGCTTTGAGAGGCAAGCCAAAGACTACATTTGCTCCTCACTCCCCAATTCACCAGTTTGCTTACCACCGAAACAGAACTATAGACAACAACACCCATACTGCACGCCATCCTCTCTCACTTAAATTGCATGAAGGCAAACCATATTAGGTTGCTGTAAGTTGGTTACAGTTAAGCATTCAACTCTGTAATCTCCACCAGGCTTGTCTCCAAACTCCGGACATTAGGACTTTCTCCATCTGCCTGTGGGTCATCTTCGCTCATCCTAAACATTAGAGCTCCCCGGGAAATACAAACTGATCAAATTTGCTGATGGTATTGTAGTAGTAGACCTAATCATGGATATTGAAGGCCTGGAGGAGGTGCACAATCTGGCAGGGGGATGCTAAACAATCTAAACAAGCCAAATAATTAGGAAACTGATAGTGGAAGACTGGAGAGATGTGTCTTATCAGTTTCTAAAGGGATAAATGCATGCTAAGCACAGGCCTTTAATAGGGCAACTGAGAATTGCACTCCCATTAAAAGTACAACTCAAAAGATATTAAACTCTTTAGTCTGCCTCAATAATGTGTTTGGCTTCATAAGCCAAAGTGCCTCGTAAAGACTGTTGGTGCCTATGGTTTCTACGATCTACTTGGGTTCACAGTGCTTTTGGAAAACGCAGCCCAGTTTGTTGCTGTACAATCCTGGCACATCCTAATGCCATTATGCAGATGCACTTTTATAAGCTGATTTAGTACATTCAGTGACAACCCACCCACACACCTGTGGGAATTTCATCATTTACACAGCGACTGCACTGGTCTTCTTTCCTTGTATAGCAAGTATCAATCACTTGCATTGCATTGACTTCTTGGAGGCACGTCACTGAGCTGATTGCACCCTGAATGCCTCCTCAGATTCATGCAGAATTTCTCCAGGCTTGTCTTACTCCCAAATTCAGCATTTCTGCCTAAGGGGATTAAACCGGGATTAGGTTGTTTGAGAGTAGAAATCCCTGTGTGTCATTTTCTTCTCTTCAGTTCTGCGGAGGAGAACAGATGGCACGGTTTATTCCCAGTGAGGCCATTGAGTGTGTGTTTAGATGGGACAGGCACAAAGCTTCAGATGAACAGCTTTTTGTGTTTGCAACAGCATGTCTCATAGAATAAAACCGAAGTCTTCAACCCTGCTCCTCGAGGTCCACTGTCCTGCAGAGTTTAGCTCCAACCCTGATCAAACTCACCCAAACTAGACAATCAAGGTCCTCAGGAACCATTGGAAAATACAGGCAGATATGTTGAAGCAGGTTGGAAATAAACGTTGCAGGAGAGTGGGTCTCCAGGAGCATGGAAAAAGGTCGTATGGGCAGCAGCAGACTGGGCTTCTCTCCACAAGCTTATGAGGTTTGGCTGGATGCTACGAGGTTCTCTCTTGCACATGTAATGTTGGAGAGAAATTCCAGGTGTTCTTAATACTGACTAGTTGCCAGGTGACTGAACAAGTGGACACTGTCTATATCCCAGAGAAGTTGAGGTTATGACTAGGCTACAGCCCTGGTTCTCTTGGGGTGATAGAGGACATTTTCATCTTCTCGGAGGTGCTAATTATGAAAGTGGACCTGTGTCCATGCAGTGGATTATGTAGGGAAGGGCCAGGTGTCATTGTGGATGAGCGCAGATGCCTCAGTCAGGCCACAGTTACAATACAGCCTGAAGTTATTTCATGGAGTTTAAAACCTCAGATCTGCAATGTCTGTGAGCATTTCATTCTCCTGATGTGCTGCAGTGTTTTGGGGTTTCTAATTATTGCATGAGATGCTTTACAGGACATGGGTCACATGATAAGAGTTGCTGTTTCTGCAGGAGGGGCAACTGGATCACACTGAAGATGAGGAAGCTCATCAAGCCAAAGAGTCGTGAGCGCATGCGCTCTCTCACACAGACTCCTCCCCGCTCCGAGTCCAGCGAAGGGTTCCTGACGCTGCCGCAGCCGGACAGTCAGGACAGCTCGTCCGTCGGCTCTGGATCCAACTCACTGGAGGACAATCTCACCCACCGCAGCGGCAGTGAGTATCGGCACACCTCCTGCTCCCTGCAGCGCTCTGACCTTCTTGCAGTTAACTCCGGAATCACTCCGACACGTTCAGCTAGTGACTGAACCCAATGGTTCTAGCTGATTCTTTCTTTGATTTCCACTGATTTCCTGAGTGAGTCCAGCTCAGCTCAGAGGTGTGTGTCGGAGGCATGGTCCGGCTGCTCGTACACGTTGTGTGTTTAAAATTGGGGAATGTCACTCTTGATCCCATCCACCATCTTTTGTTTCCTGTCGTCAGTTATGTGCCCCCATGACTTTTTCAAAAGAATCATTTGTTTGTTAAAGGGGTCATGAACTGAGGTCCACTTATAATGTTATCATGATTTTTACATTTAAAAAAAAACATAATTTAGCAGTAACAGACTATTTTCTGTCCTGTTTTGACCCCCCTCATCAGAACGCTCTGTTTGAATAGGTGTGGAGGATTGTAGACTCGGAAGTAAACGCCCACTGCTGTGTTTGGCTAATAGTTGTGTATGATTGACAGTACATTCCTCACAGACGGACGCTGCAGTGATTGAGGTTAAAAACGCAATAGTGATCACGTAATGAAAACAGTTACTCACACTTGTGTTGCAACATTACTGTCAGATCCAATAGTCACACAGCATCATGTTTTAGTTTCAATCTTTCTGAAAATCCCGTGTCGAATTGTGCCTTGTTTGTAAACGAATCCATGGTAAAATGAAGTGGACAAAGGACCGAGTTCTTGCTGACACAGTCTGGATCTTCATTAAGAATAAAATTTATTCACTCTTTCCTAACGTTGGGATCAGAAGGAAGGCAACAATGTTTTTCCACCGCTTGGCACTGCACAGCGTCTTGTTGTCTTTGGAGCATCTTTATCGTTTGGTTTCTGCGTAGACCTGCGTGTTTGCCTCTCTCCTAAACACTAACTACAATATAGAAAACGTAAACCTCCATCACCTGCTTTCAGATGGAGCAGCATTTACTACACAGAGCTGTAGTTCACTGACAAGCTATGCAAAACCACGATCATAATCACAGATGATATTGTAGTGTGATTATGAAATTGTTCTGCGATACTGCGATACTGATACTAGCTTGTCAGTAACATATTTCATAGTATTCTAAGCAGTGATAAAGGCTATGTTGATTAGCATTGCATTATTATAATAAGAACTCAGATAAATCATATAGTCGTGTGTTTATTAGTCACGCTGAATCAGTGAAAGCAGTTAAATCTTCTGTTTATTCAGCTAGCGCTATAGGGATTGCCTGGGTTTCTTCTGCGGGGAGTATTTGGAGTTTCTCTGGCCTTCAGATGGAGATTTACTACTGATCACAGAACCGTGCATCACTGACGAGATACACTTGACTATCACAGCTTCTGTCTAATCGTGATTGGGATTTCATTGTGCTTTATCACGATTTATCATGCAGCCCTACTACAATACTAACAAGAAAGTTTTGAGTTCTGAAACTTACAGGATGTTTTTATAGTACAGTTACCTTTTATATGTCAAAAGAGCAAGGGACTTTTGGTTTCTCAGTTCATGACCCCTTTAATCGATCATCACAATGACCAGTCAAAACTGTATTTGTGAAGTCAGCGCAACAGAAAGTTGTTAAATGTCCGTTTATTGTCTCTGTGTGATTTTGTGCGCACCCAACAGAAAACAGCTCAGCTAGAGAATAATTTCAGCAAACACACATATGAGATGTATGATCGTGCAGTTCTGGCCTGACGCTCTCTCTTGTGTTTTCTTGCTTTCTTTGCCAAGGGAAGAGAGTTGAGAAAAGCCAAACGCAGGCTTCCTCTAACGGTATGCTGTCAGTCAGCCCATGAACACTCTGCATTTGTGTTCTTCTCTATTAAAAGGTGCAATGCAAACGGCGTGTGTGTGAATGCAGTTCAGCGCTTGTTCATTCATCTGTGCGTGAGAACACAGCGAGAACATTCATTTGAGCGGCTCGGAGATGATCTGTGACTCTCTCCCGCATTGCACCCTTTAATACTCATGTCCTGTTGGCATCAGACGGTGTGTGTTCATTTGCCGTCCAGCTGAGTGATCATGTTAACGTACGAGCATCAGTTTGACAGGAAGGTGCGCTGGTAGTCATGCTAACATGCGTCTGTTCTCTCCTCCCGCTGTCTGTCCGGTGACAGCGCTGAAAAAGCTTCCGTTCATGAGGAACCGATCCAAGGAGAAAGACCGAGTGAAGGCCGTCTACCGCCGCTCTATGTGTAAGACATCTGCTCGTCCTCATCCATCACGCTCTTCTTCTGTCTGTGTCTCCTGCAGCGGCCGCCTGAAGCACTGCCATCATCTATCACCATCAGTCACTTCACAGACCTGCACTGCCCTCGAGCTCTTGTGACCGTGACACACTTAATGTTCGTCTGTTCAGATGCATAACCCTAGTGAAAAATAAGTATACTAAAATGTATTTGAAATACATCTATTTCATGCTAAGTATACTACAAATACATTTACATATTATATACTTCATAAAAACACCCTGCAGTTGTACTTTTAGTATACTAAACTGCTATACTCAAAGTTTGTGCTTAATGCACTTTAATTGTGCGGAAGTGGTGCTGAGGTCCAACTAAAGATATACTGAAGTGTATGTGATTGAGCTAAAGTGGAACTACTGCGAGTACTTCGGGTACACTTTAAATATCTTGCATTTAAAAACTGATATTATTCAAAGATCATACAATCCTCATCAAAAGTGTCATTAAAACACATTTTAGGCTTAATATTAAGAAATGTGCATTGTGCACTAGTAGTACTCCAAATAAAGTTTAATTGATTTTTTTTTTTATCAGTAAGTCTAGAGCGATATGTCAGTAAATATGTTAATAGATTTGAACTGTACCTAGTATGAACTGAATGTATTTTAAATATATTACTTTTTTACTAGAGATCAGTTAGATTCTCAAGGTTACGACGTCAGCCCAAGTCAGATCTGTTTGGAGAGTTCAGTGCCACACATCCTAGAAACTAGCAACCGTCCCACACAGTGAAGACAGTGAATGCATAGTTTGGGGACAGCATCTCACATATAATATGTCAGGGTTAGCTAGCACTGTGCCCTGCTAACACACTGTTGAACTGCACACTGCGCGCTGGACTTCCAGTATTAGTGTATTAGAAACAGAGTGTCTCCACAGACCTTATGCAGCTTTAATAGTATCATCAGTGAATCGTGAGCTTGTGTGAATGTCTTGTGTGTCCTGCATCATCTCTCTCCAGTAATCACTTGCATTCAGCCTTGCTGTCCTTCTTCATCTCTTTCTTTCCTCCTGTGTTCACTCATATCGACCGCGTGCGTCTGGCAGGCCTTCAGCGTGTTAATGCAGAGTGTGTGTGTGTGTGTGTCAGCCATGAACGACCTGCTGCAGACGATGGCTGTGTCCGAGGGTCAGTGGTCCAGCAGCACGGATCATCTCGAAGCTCAGCACGGGAAGGAGTTTGGATCCATGGACTCCGCCGGCCTGAGCCTGAGCCGCGGCCCCAGCGCTCGCCACCGCTCCGACACAGGTCTGTGTTTTCTGCTGCACACCTCAGCTTCTGCTCTAAACTATAGGGAGCTCTCTTACATTGCTATAAGGTTACAATTAACAACAGAGCCCACACTTAAATTCAATTACTATTTATTTTTAACTATAATAATCAACACTCAAATTAAAAATGTGCTTGCAAACATGTAAATTGCACATAATGCAGTTTTTAAATTAACTTCTAAATTATACAGTTTCTATTTGCTGTTGAAATATATTCATTTGTTTGATAAAAGATTTATTTAAATGTACATTAAATAATTTAGACATCACTAACAGGTAAAGTCAAATATAGTGAGTATATAGTCTAATATTTCTCAAAATGCTCTTCACTAGACTTCATTCCTCTAGCAAATAACGAGCTGTGCACACTGATGACTTGCCTGAGGTGAATGAAATGCTGCGTGACGTTTTGCTTACAAGCTGTTTTATTGATGTCTTTCCGCAATTGAAATTGATTGAGTGATTACGTGAGGCATGATTTGTTCATTCATGTTTATTTCGTGTTAAAGCTAGTAGTAAAGATGAAGGGATGATCACGCTGCCGTCAGAACTGAGGCGTTTATACAGCGATCTGTCGCGCCGCATCAAAGCAGCATTTATTGTCTGAATTCCCTGAGAAAATGGAATGATTTGCACCGAACTGAAAGACCCGTACTGAAGGTTTTCGGTTCGAATGTGTGTACTGTTACACCCCTAGAGCAAACAGAAGCGAGTGTTGGTGTTTGTCATGTGTGTGTTGCAGGCGCAGCCGTGTCCAGTGAAGACGTCACGCAGCTGTCGGAGCAGGAGCGAGCTCAGGGTGAGTGACCGCTCCTCCAGCACAGCGTCTGTCTGCTCCATCTGCTGATCTCCTGCTGCTCGACTGATCCCGCTCCAGCTCACAGAGCCTGCATGCTGCATCACTCACACGGCTGTCTCGTTAACGCCGTGTGCATGAACTCATGAACTCATGACATGGACTAAATCTTCTTTGTGATCCTAGGATCCCAGGCAGCTAAAATGTTCATGACAAAAATGTCACTGTTGGCAACAATTGGGAAACTGTGTGCACATCCATGTGTTTGATCAGATATGATGAGATTATGCACCAGTGTTTCCGTGAGCCGTGATGTCTGATTCACAAACACTTACACACCCGTTCTTTTTAAGGAGTCAGTTGAAACGATTCATGAAGCAGCCTCAAACATGCTTTTAAGCAATAGTGAGTCAGTCAGTGAATCATTCAGATCCACTACTGAGTCACTGATTTGTTATTCATATTATGATGTGCAATTAAAATTACATGTGCCCTGTCCAAATACCCACCCTTGCGGTCTCGGCCGCTTGAGAGCGCGTCCACGACACAGGAATAAGACTGCCCCAGGTCTTAAAAACGCCAAAGCGCAGTGCCCTTAATGCACACTAAATCCATGCTATCTCGAATACTGCTCCGGATCAGTGTATCCCATCATGCACCATGTTGTGGAAATAAATCGTGAGACTTTGTGAGATGTCGTGAGAGGTCACAGAAACCTTTCCAATGCAAGTTAAATATTAATAATAATTAGATATTACGTATAATTTGATAGTAAAACAAAGTGTTGCACATTTTGTTGATGCAAAGATGAGTATATTTATTTTGTACTACATTTTCAACCGCTTTTTATCAAATTAGAAGCACCACAAATTAAACTGCCGTCTGTTATAGAACAGATATTGAGAAGTTTATTTTAAAATGCAAAGTGTTGAAAATAAAAATTAAGTGTTGAAGTAGTCAAAGACCGCAAGTGTGTGGGTATTTGGACAGGGCAATAGTTTTGGTTTTTCCAGACGTGCAGGAATATTCATAGAGAAGAGTGATGTTTAAATGCAGAGATGCAGTCAGGATTGAGGAGGTTTGTGCTGGTGTGTGTTGCGCAGGCGTGATGAACGGCAGTGCGAGTCGGCCTCGCAGCGAGAGCAGTGACGTCAGTGTGAGTCGGGACAGTCCCACCAGCCAGACCTCAGCACAGCACAGCGCTCTGGAGGGCAAACGCAGGGCCAAGTCTGCAGGAAGTGAGGTGGTTTCCCTGCAGCAGTTCCTGAAGGAGAGCACAGAGCCAGCAGAGGTGATGCACACATACACACCTCTTCATGAAGTCAGCCAAGAGCCCAATCATCCAGCATTACCAGCGTTTATAAGCAGCAGACAGAGTCATGTGTCTGTGACCGACTGTATGGCTGGTGATTGGAGTCACTGTTTATATTAAAGCAAAATGAACTGATGATTTCATGGGCCTAAACTCAACCCGCAAACACTACCAATCAAAGGTTCGGGGTCAGTGAGATGTTTCAAAGGATTATTAGTTCACTTTCGTGATCATTTACTCACCTCCATGTCATCCAAGATGTTCTTTTTTTTTTTTTTTATAAATTACGTTTTTTGAGGAAAGCATTCCAGGGTTTTTCTCCATATAGTGGACTTCAATGGGGATCAGCGGGTTGAAGGTCCAAACTGCAGTTTCAGTGCAGCTTCAAAGGGCTCTACACGATCCCAGCCGAGGAATAAGGGTCTTATCTAGCCAAACAATCTGTCATTTTCTAAGAAAAATAAAAATGATGTGATGCAGTAGTTGTGCTGACATGTACATGTAAACAGACATTTAGTGCTCAATCCAGCATGTAAGGGTGCGTTCACACTTGTAGTTCGCTTCTCTTGGTTCGTTCGGTCCGGACCAAAAAAGAAAATAATACATTTGGTCCTGGTCCCGCTTGGCGTTCACACTGGCATTTTTGATAGTGAACCTAAAGGCATAGTCCTACATTCACAACCTGACTGGTCGGGCTGAATGATGTATATTTCGTGACAGAACTCACCGAACACCCCAAACAATAGGTGTGTTCAACTAAAGGCGGCGCTGTGGGTGTATGACACTAAGTAGAATACACCTAATGCTGTCTGCTGGACTAAGTGCGCTCATTGTTGCGTGTACATGATTTTATTTTTACCACCTGTGAACTCACAAAGAGCTCATAAAAGGCACTTTACATCCTCGTTGCTCCTCGTTTGCCTTCTCATTTTGTTTTATATACAAAGCTCATTCCTCGTCATCAAATCATGTCGCATATCGTCACATCTTGTCATCACATCATTCATTTGGAAGCATTTGGTCCGTGTTGTGTTCATATTTCATTTTTAACCTCACCAGAGTTCGTTTGGAAGCGGACCAAGACCAAGAGCCGTGTCTTTATTAGGTAATATTGGAAAGGTCACATGTGACGTAGGCGGAAGTACTGACCCAGTGTTTACAAAACTAACAAATGCCCTTTACAGAAAATGGTATAACAATGACATTGGATGATTTTAAAGTTGGAGGGAAAATGAGATGGAGTTTTTAAACGAAGTACAAAGATGAAGAACTAACCGCGTGTGACCTTTCCAACAGGATTATGTAATGTGTGATGACGCGCATCGCAGAGCTAGAGCAAGCCCAGCATTTGTGGTTAAAAGTGTATAAATATTTTTTTTTCAGTAAAAGACCAATCGTTTCGCTAGATAAGACCCTTATTCCTCAGCTGGGATCGTTGGACCCTTTGAAGCTGCATTGAAACTGCATTTTTTTACCTTGAAATCGTTGGCCACCATTGAAGTCCACTATATGAAGAAAAATCCTGGAATGTTTTCCTCAAAAAACTTAATTTCTTTGTGACTGAAGAAAGACATGAACATCTTGGATGACATGGGAGTGAGTAAATTATCAGGAAATTTTTATTCTGAAAGTGAACTTATCCTTTAATGAGACAGACAGCCTATAGGCTATTAAGACATATCTAATATAATGTTACACATCCAGTGTTTTTCCCCAACAGTTCCGCAAACGTTCACTTAATATATAATTATGTTTGTGTGAATACTTAAATGTATGTAGTCTACTGTAAATCTGTGTATATGTGAATCGGGATAGAGCGCCGCCGGTGTCGTCTTTATGAGTGTACTTCAGATGACAATCAGCGCGAACTCATTTTTGTGAAAACCTCAAATTCCACATTTGTAATTTTTTTTGCGTGTAGCTCAAAATTAGCCCATGTGCATTCACACTCATTTTGCCAGCATGGCTTACAGTAGGGCTGGGCAAATAATTGAATGTGATTATCATGCGCATCTCGTCAGTAAAGCCGGTTCTGTGATCAGTAGTAAATCTCAATCATGTGCTTTCAGATGGAGCAGCATTTACTACACAGAGCCGTAGTTCACTGACAAGCTACACAATATGGCGTTCATTATCGGCAATGAATCGCCTGTGATTATGATCGTGGTTTTGCGTAGCTTGTCAGTGAACTACAGCTCTGTGTAGTAAATGCTGCTCCATCTGAAAGCGCATGATGGAGATTTACTACTAATCACAAAACCGGCTTTACTGACGAGATGCGCATGACTATCACATGCGATTATTTGCCCAGCCCTAGCTTACATATGTAAACAGACAAATGTCATAGGTGCAAACGCCTCACCTTTTAGTGACAACGCACTTTTTTGAGATCAAAATAGGTCACCTATGAGATTTGCTTAGATCCAATGAGAAAGTGTTTTTATGGGGGGGGGGGTCTTGCGAGGGTAAATAAAAAACTGTTGTTTCAATACGTTTTGTATAGTATTTTCCTTTTGCCTTTTCCCCGTCGGCTTTGAGTTTGCATCTCTGCTTGTGCTCAGTGCAGTATGTAAGAGTGTTTTCTCCTCCCTGCGCAGTCGTCTGGTGTGTCCGGAGCCGTGCCGCGTGTGAAGAGCCGAGGCATCCTGCGCTCAGCCAGCGGTAAGGCCCCTGCGGGAGCCGGTCAGCCGGGCCACCCCAGCCTGCGCAAGGCAGAGAGCACGCGGTCCAAGGTCTCGCCCCAAGCCGGCCTGTCTGCGCAGAGCAAAGCCTCATCAGCATCTCTGTCGGAGCGTCTGGACTCGTCCTCAGGCCTGCCCCGCGCCAGCAGCGTCATCTCCACCGCCGAGGGCTCCGTGCGCCGCACCAGCATCCATGAGCTGCTCTCCAAGGACAGCCGGCAGCCCGTGCTGGTGGACCCCGCGCCCTCCCGCTCCCAGAGTGAGTACAGCGACCCAGCCCTGCACAAGTCTGCTAGCATGCCCTGCCGCGTACAGGAGCCCGAGCTGTCCAGCCTGCAGGCCTTTCTAGGTCCCTCCTTCACCGTAGACTCCATCTTTCTGGACTCCATCTTTAGCGAGCCAGCGGTGACGGGTGGTGCTAGAAACCAGGCCATCCTGTCCCTCAACACGTCTCTCGTTAGTAGCATTAGCGGCCCTCCCCATAAGGCCAAGCGCTCAGACGAGCCCGAGGAGGACGGCCAGTCGCTGTGGTACGAGTACGGCTGCGTGTGACCCCTGACCCCCGCCTGCATGAGTCTGCTCTGTGTTATGTCTTTGTAGCGACGCTCATGTGATTCTTCTGTTGGACTGAACCTCCATCACTGTTATATTAACTGATGCTGTCTGCTGTGTGTGTAACCGCTGATCCACTTTCATATTTATGAACACGAGGTCCCATGATGCTCCTCTGATTGTTTTATTGAAGTGACATGGTGTGGCTGTTTCCCCGATGGTGTTTGTGTGCATGCCTGTGGTCTGGTGTGGGTTGTGTTGGTGTGTGATGTGAGCTGTAGCCTGTATGAACACACCACTCTCTGCAGGTCAAACTCTGCTGATCCAGCGCCCATCGTGTTTGATGCATGCTGTGTGTCCACATAACGTCCTTCAGGACACTGATTCTTCTGTAATGTGCCGTTGAAGTGTGGCTTGCTTTCGTTCTGCAGATGTGGAAGTGTTTCAGGAAAACAGGAAGACTAAGAGCAGAGGTGGCGCTCAGAATTTGTCCTGAATTCACACGGTGAGTGTCATGATCCTCCTCAGGAAACTCTTGAACCTTCGAGAATCCTCTTTGTCCACCTCCAGCCCAAAGTACAGGGAGCCCGATGCGTTCCTCACTGATTATAATCACGATAATCCATACCTAGCATTAAAGGGGTCATGACATGGATTTTTTTTATTATTTTAATATGTTCCTTGAGGTTTACTTATAACATTGATAAAGTTTTTTAATATAAACTTCATAAATATGTGGGAAAATGATTATTTTCAACCGTCATTCTGAACTTCTCTGTAAAACGGGCTGTTTTTAAGCGGCGTGTCCTATAAGGCTTGTTATGATTGGTTAATGTCACTGCATAGTAAACACTATCAACGCCCCCTCGCTATTGTGAGTGTTTTGACAACATAATCAAAATAAAACGTCATTTCCAGACAAAGCATTAGGAAATCATTTACTTACGGTTTGTGATGCAGCTGCAGTCAGATCTAGTGCCGCTTCATCTTTCAACAAATGTTTCTTTGTGACTCTCCATGACACTGTGCCTCGATTACAAAACAAAACGCTCCGATCAATCCTTACACGATCCGGGGTGCATTAAAAATAAACTATCCACTTGTTCCATACATTCGGATCCTTCTGATATCTGTACAAAGACGCGAACGCTGTTTAAACCAAACGCGTCAAAGCGAACGTTCTTTCACTGCATTTGTCCTGACGACAGACTCCAGCGGTGGACTGTGTCTGAAAGTGAACGCACATCTGTGTACTGTATCCAGTGTAGACAAGATAGCGCAGTGATCCTGATTTCTATTTGCTTTTGACGTGATGTGACACTAGCATTCAAGCGTGATCAAGTGTTAGCCATTAGCGGCTGAACGCCAGTGGGCGGGGCCTATGTCGACGCGTCGCTCTGGGGGCGGAGTTTATGCAAACGACTGCACCCAGCTGACGTCACCTTGCCCCTCAGATCCAAAACGAGCCGTCTTCTTATTATTACTTAAATTATTTTTGATGATGAGGACATTTTAAGCTGTGAAACTTGCAGGATGTATTAAGCATACAAAGACCTCTTCTGTGTCAAAAGATCAAGGGAAATTTGATTTCTCATGTCACGACCCCTTTAAACAGCATCATCAGAAATATTTTCACATTGAATCTCCAAATTAAAGGCAGGTTGAAAGTCTCTTCACATCCCGATAGCAATCACTAAGTGCTCTAAATGTATTTATATGTATTTATATTGTCTGTGGAAGGCGTAGGACCATAAAATGTTAAAACAATATTCACATAATCCCATTACATTGTCATATTTAGCGGTTTTTATATACAGTAGTTTGTTTGGTGTTTCTGTCTCAGTTAATATCTTCTCTCTCTGCTTGAATGAGCGTGATCTGATCAATTTTCCTCGCTTTATTTTGCGCATTCATGTTCATGATAAATATGTAATAAAATGTCTAGTTAAAACATTTGATATCAATATTGTTTTTATGAGAATCGGTCTGCTATCGCAAGTATTCATAGTTGTTTTCGTGCTCACCGGGCTGTGTTACTGATACTGCTTTTCCACTCGAAATCTAAACAGTTTGAATGTGTTCTATGGAAATGGAAATGTATTTTTGTATGAATCTGTCCAGTGACCAAATGAACCAAACAAAACAATCCAGAAGTTCTTTTCTTCACACCATCACATTCAAAGAAAAAGCCAGTATGAAAAGGAAAGATTGATTTTTTCCATATCATTCAGGGTTCCCACTGTCCTCTGAGAACCTGTTCAAATAGCTTTAGAAATGATATTCTGAAGAAAACATTTTCACACAAATATAATAAATATGTGCAGTCAGTGGCTTGCAGGACATTCTAGAAGGCTTTCACAAACCACAGCGTTGTTTTTGCTCTGAAACACAAGACGAGGTTGTGGAATTTGGGGGAAAAACATGTCTCTTTTTTTAAAAAGTCGTAATGTGTTTTCAGAAAGTTTTGGAATATTTTTCAGCTCCCCAAATTTGTCACTACCGAAACACAATAACATATAATTTAATAAGAAGGGCTATATTGATCTATTAGCATTTTGCTTAAATCTATCTTGTAAATATATTTTTTGCTATTTTATTAAAAAGTTTTTAGAGGTAAATCAATGACAATTAAAATGTTAACAATATTCAAGTGTGATTTATGAGATTTGTTCTATTTTGAATCCAGTCTTTCTTTGTAAAAGGCATAAAGTCGATCATACTGATTTCAGAGTTAAGGATTCATTAGTTTGAATATGCATTGAACCAAAAACTATCATAACATCTTTAGCACTATTCGGACGGGACTAGTTTTCTAAACTAGTTTGAGTTTGGATTCTTATCACCTGACGTCTGCGATTTTCATGTAGGCCTAACATCTGCATGTTTATTACAGAGGTCTGCAGAGATCACGACTGATTAGCATAACCACAGGTTTACTACAGATACCATGCTGAAGCTACATGGCTAGCATAGCAAAACCATGGTTAATGTAGTTAGTGTAACTATTTATTTTGTTTATTTGTAGTAAAACCGTGTGTAATTTTCATAAAGGTACATGTAATTGAGTGCAGAAATGAAGGTGAGTATGTTAATCTTACCTGACGCTGATATTACAGTAGCAAGTCTTAACAGTTTACGTGATCTGGCTCTTGATTTCATTATTGTTATTTTTTTATTTCTTTGCCGGGAGGCAAACATATCAAAAAGAGGTAAGCGTCTACGGTAGTTCACGCTGGCCAAAACGCAAAATAATCTTCGGCTATCACAGACATTCGCATTCGGACGGGATCAGTTTTCTCAGAGGATCGCTGAGTTTGCTGAAAAACAGTAGGTAATTTGCTCTGGGATTATTACAGAGGTTGTGTGAGGAAAACACAGATTTAGCAGATTCGGACAGGATTCAAATCGCTGAGTAGGTCTGCGAAACACATTTCTCTAACGACCCCCTGTAAAACTAGTCCCGTCAGATTAGGGCTTTAGCTGATAATTCAGTATACTTTATTTTTGACAAAACATCCCATGTTTCGGTAGTGACAGTAATCCCTTACCAAAAAGTAGTATACTTCAAGTTTATTTTAAGTATACTTAAGTAAAGTTCAAGTATATTTTTAAGTATACTTTATGTAGTAAGTATACAAATATCAGTGTACTAGTAGTATACTTGTAAGTGTACTATTTCAA